CAGCCCCCGTAGCCGAGAACCAGGGGCTCCATTGGCATGGAGTCCAGAACCATGGGCTCTGTCTGGGTGGCCGGGGGGGAGGGGGGGGCCGCAGAGTGTGAGGGGCCCCTCGGGGTGTGGCACATGCCCATCCGTGGCATGCCACTAGTAGGCAGGCTGGGCCTGAGTCTCTCTACCCTAGGTGGCTCACAGGCAGGGCCTCAGGCCCTCCCACGCAAACTCCGCACTAACTCATGCGCCGTCAGAGAAGCGCACCTGTTTGCGCAGCCTGTTCGCGTGGCTCCCTGGGGGGCTGGGTGAAGTAGGGGCCTGGGCGGGGTGAGACCCGACCCAGCTCCACTCAGCCACCTCCTCCCACTGACTAAGGGGTAAACCCTCTCCCACCATGGACCCCACTTACCTCTGGCTGTGCTGGGGGTCGGTGGGGGGTTCCACGGTTGCTGGGGGTCTCTGGGGGGCATTGGGGGAGCGGGGACACAGCGGGCTTTCACCCAAGCGTCTCTCACTGCTCTGGAGCCTATTAAGCCTATTAATTTAGCCCTATTAAGGAGCTAACGCCTCAGAGTCAAACCCTATCTGGTGGGTTTAAACTGGTAGGCCAAGCTACAGAAAGACGGGGAGGGCAAGGCCCATGGTGGCTGAGAACCCCAACAGAAAAGTACAATAGGCAGTCTCCTGCTTGTAAGAACATCTAAATAATACTTACATCAAGACATGACAGGAGAGTGGAAGTGGGATACGAGACAAAAGGTAGAAGGGAAACATTGAGGGACTTCAAGGACACCCCTCATAGGCCACAGATGGCAGATAAGGAAAGGGAAAAAAATGCCACGGGGGACAACCTGTTACAGGGTGTCACAGCCGCCCCTCTTTAGAAGAATAACTCTTATCAAAGACAACACTTAAAGATATATAGCTACTACTTTTTAATGGCAAGATAATGAAGGAGGCCTTACTGGAAGTTTTGGGTGCTGGCAGGATTCAAGTTCTCAGCTGGTGTAACTAATATCAGTGATAACATATCAATTTACACTAGCTAAGGATCTGTCTTGCTTATTCTGCTCAGAATTGTGCAGTCTTCCCTACTATTCAACCCTGGAGGGATTTGTTTGTAAGGGAGAGGGTAATTCTTTTCCCATAACCATTCTCCCCTTGGGTTCTCTACAGAGGCTGCCAACAACATGCCAGATGGTACAAACATTGGTGCAATGGCAACAAAACACATCTCTAGTTGTATTAAGTATATTAAGCAATGACCCATGGAGACAGCCAATCCACAGACAGAACAGCCAGTAGCAAAATTAGGCCGTTCGCAATTTGCCTCCCACTGAATTTCATGGAATTACACTTCCACGGCAGTGAACTTTGCCCTAGGTTTAAGACTGTGTTTATTGTCTACATTTTCCCATGTAGTTTGGAGAACACAAAATGACTTGTACTTTGGGACAATGCCCAGGACAGTGCTGCTCTGATCTTAATGGGGTCTCTGGATGATACCATAATAGTAATATTAATTAAAAAGAAAAAAACATTGCTTTTAAACAATTTTCAACTCTGACTCAACCTTGTGGGATGAAAGGCATCTAATCAAATGTTTTCCTCTGACCCTGAATGGAAAAGCTGATTTGTCATTGGTTGCCCTCCAAGTACTAATAGTTTGTCCTAGTGAACCAGGAAAGAATTTGAGGAAAGTATCTGCTATCTGTCTAACTCCAGTCTTCACCAGTGACTCTTGCATCTGTCCACCAAAAACAATACAATATATATAATAACAAAAACTGCTATGGTGTTATAACAAACCCAACAGGAAGTTTGGAACGATTGTCACAAAGAAACCTACTCTTTTGAGATATCCGACTGAATTTTTATAGGATCACAGAGTCCTAAATCCCAAATGTTGTTGTGCATATCGGAGCTGAGGCCAAACATAACAATATTCATCAATACAGATGACACTGTTACTTTGTAGGTTGGGCCACCTCTTTGAAGCTGTGGAGTATCATAGCTGCTTTTCATTCAGGCACAAGGAACAATTGGATACCCCTTGTCTAGTGATAGCATAAACAACAGAAAACCAATGTCCAAGGACTAGACTGCTCAAATTTAGGTGTAGACTAATTTACATGATTAGGTGACTTAATTCTTAGAATTGATGTGAAGTTATGTAATCTCCAAGGCTAACCTGGGCCACAAGTCAAACTGCTACCTCCTGCATGAACATGACCACAAAGCCATACACTATGGTACACCATGGGGCATATTCTGCTTTCTCTTACACTGAAATCCAGAGTGGCATAAGGAGAAACTCTGCCTGTTACTACTTGAGTCTCAATGGCACATGCATTGTCCTCTGTTTTCTGAAAGACTATTTACATGTTATTCATTTATTCCAGTTTCTAAAAATACACTTATTCAGAAGCTGAAAACCATGTACAAGCAACATGCAAAAATATCTATTAACTCTAATGGGCCCAAAGGCCACATTAGAACCTTCTATGACACAATAAGTTACATGTAAGAGTGTTCATTTAGTATACTGTAGTAACCATTTCCTAGCTAAAGGAACTCCTTTCAATTTTCTGAGACCCAAATTAACAATTCGTAAAAAAAAATACTTTTGCTGTTTTATTCCTGTAGGAATAACACTTATAGGGGAGGAGGATCTGTAGATAAAGCTCACCAGATTGAAGAACAGAAGGCTCCAACACACACATGGGGGAAGGAGGGGAGGGAGCCAGCCCACAACAGCAGTATTCTTACAGTATACTTGGTATTTAATAGAACTCCCAATTTCCAACACAAATCATCCTCTACAGCCTATTATTATTCTTTTGGCTCCTCCATAGTTTAGGTGGGAGACCAGGATGGAGGAACTTTTGCACAGCTGCACAAAAGGGCAGCTGTACAATGATCTTGGCCATATGGTTTTATAATCTGACTGAATTTAAATTGTTCTATTAGTGCTCTCACTGCCTGTTAAAATGTGACAGGAAGAAAACAATTCAGAAGACTAGATCATGTGGTATACAATTGCCCATTGCATAATGCAGACAAGGCTCTATGGGTAAATGTGATATCTTTTATTAGACCAACTAAACAGCTGGAAAAATTGTTCTTTGCAAGCTTTCGGGCAGCAACATCCTTCTTCAGGCATTGGACAGAGTCTGCTGTTGGTTTGGGTGTGCTCTTGGGTAGACTAGAAGCCAATATGCAAAAATGCAGGTCTGTGAACATGTAAATGCATGGTAGACAATAGATGGGGTGGGGGGAGGGGGATGTTGACCTGGTGAAAGACTGCAAATAGTAAACTGTAGAGAGGTGACCTGGGGTCCTCAGATGGCAGGCATCATGTACCATAAATCCAATATCTATATTTAGTCCATGATTTTGTATCCAGTAGATCTATGAGATGAAGTTTGTAGGCTCATCTACAAAAGGTGTTTTGTAAATTCCCTTTGAGGATTAGACCTAAGAGATCAGAAAGCGAGAGAGAATGGTTTTCTTGTGAAAAGTGTGCACTCACAGGTAACTGGATATTTTTGTCTTTGATAAATTTTAGGTGTGTGTTCATTCTGGTACACAGTTGTTCGGTTTCTCCTACATATGTTCCATCAGGGCATTTAGTGCACTGGATGAGATCTATTACATTTCTAGAGGTGCAGCTGTAAGATCCAGAAATGGTGATCATTCTGTTGTGTGGTATGGTTATTGTGGGAATGGTAGAGATGTGTTGGCAGGTTTTACATTTCTTATCCTGGCATGGTCTGGATCCATTTTGTGTGGTTTGGGCCACAGGAAATTTGCTTCTTATGATGAGGTTAGCAAGGTTCAGTGCTTGTTTAATGGCTAGGATGGGGGGTCTGGAAAGATCTCACTGAGAATTGGGTCTTCTAGTATGGGTTGAAATTGTTTAAGGATTTTCTGTATAGGTTCCAGGGAAGGATGGTATGTCATAAACTGACCATTAAAATTGTGTTACCACAAGAGGAAAATAAAATTCACCTTTTTATCTCATAACACACTTTTTGTAATTCTACAGAGTACCCCATACCACTTGGGCACAGTACAATGTTGAAATCTTAAATCAAATAAACCACTGGCTCCAAGGTGGCTGAAGTAATGTTAACCTTTGCAACAAGAGGTAAACTGAAAACGGTTTCTTCTGAAATGTTTTTGGATGAACCAGGAGCATGGTGGACTTGGGAAGTTCAAGTAGAGTCCCAGAAAAGGAATACTACAGAGCCAGTGAACTTGGGGCTGAAAGAGTTGGAGCCCAGGAACTCGGGCAAGAAAGAGACCTTAGAGACTGTCTTTCTAGACAAGCCACACATTCAGTGTGACCAACAGACCTTCTCTGCTCAGACAAAAGTGACTAGATGACAGTCTGTCATAAGGAAGGGTGTGAGTCTCAAGAACCAAAAAATGCATGTCTACTCTCTATGAGACAGCTTAATAAACTCTACCCCAAAAGGGAAAATATTATATTAAAAACAGTTTTATGAACTTCCCCAAACAACAGTCCTTGTTAAACAAGCCCCAACAAAGGCTTTGCTAATGAAAGAGAGAATCATATCAAAACAAAAGAAATATGTATAATTGTAATGGGACCCCTTACCTCATTACTGAAGGGGAGAGGGAACCAAGGGGCAGCTGGTTGACCCCAGTCTCTCAGACTAATAATAGCAAAAGGCCCTTGAATGAAGTGTGTGCCCGCCTTAGGTGCAGGCAGTGATTGACAGACCTGGGGGAAAGTAGAGGGTTGGGTGACCCAGGGAGAGGCACATAAGCACATACGCTCAGGGCCTGAGCCAGAATGGGGCAGTCTGGCTGTAGGGGCTGCAGGAGGTAAGGGAGGAGGTAGGCTGGGCTGCCCAGTGAGAGAGGACTCCAGACTGCAGGGGGGATAGAGAAAACCTTGCACCACCAAAGCAACAACAGATAAGTGCTTTAAGCCTGTGTTGTAGTGCTACCACAGTGTGAGATTAACCCTGGGAGGGGAGCCTTTTATTTTGGGAGCAGATGCTTGTTTTTTTCACTTGTATTTATACCGGAGGACTAGGTGTGGCTGTGGACTGGAGACCACAGGAATGCTGCAGGGGCATAACACAGAGCCCTTCCAGGGTTTGGACCCTGTGCTCCTGTGGTCTGGTGATGCAGCCAGGAGCCATGTGGCACAGGGACAGGAAGGCAGAGAAATGGCTGCTGAATCCTGCTGACTTCTCCCCCTGGGCTCCCGCCATCTTTGACAGGCAGCCAGGAGCAGATAAATATTTTCTAAACTTTTTATGGGCCCCACAGGCTAGGTAGAATGGCCTGGCCGTGCAGATTCAGCCTGCGGGCTGTATTTTGCCCACCCCTGTTTTAGGGGCAGCCTCCCAGTCAAATCCTAACATCAAGGCATGGCAGCTGAGATGAGATGGTGGGACCATGAGGGGCCAGCAAGGGCACAAGGTGGAGTACAGGCAGTGGCCACAAGAGGTAACTTTGCTGCCCCAGTGCCAGGGCTAGCTACCATAATATACTTAGTGCTAAATGCTGCAAAATTCAGGACAGAACTGTACAATTCCTGTTGTTACTGCAAAATGAGCAGCTCTTTACATTGCTAGAGTATGCGTCTCTTCGTCCCTCTGATTAGGAAGACAGCATGTCAAAAACACAGCTTCTGCTCTCAGAGGTCTTATATCAATATTCTTTCTACCACCTGTTAGTCTTTTCAGGTTACTTTGATTTACACTATGACTTCACCTTCAAAGATTTTTTGGAACAGAAAGAAGTCTCTTATGACACGTTGATGGTACATGTCTCCAATCCATTCAGGATTTTACTTATTGCTTTGGATAAACAGTCTTTTTATTCCATGTCATCTTTGCAACTTAAACATCACATACACATGTGTGTACAAGTGTATACATGCACCATATTTTCCCACCTACCTTTATATCATACCCCTGTTCTAACCTTACAACTGTACTTTTTTTTTTTTCCATTGCAGTTGGCTGGAAATCTAAAACAGAATCCAGCTGCTGTTTGCCCTACATCTGAGTTTAAAGAGTCAAAGCTCACATATCTTCATTGTCCTTTTCTAATATGATTTCCATGCTACCACCTGCATGCATTTAAAAGATTAATGCCACTCTTTCATACTCATTGAAAATCAAGCACATTCTAACAAGGTTAACAGTAATCAGGCATCTCATCCCATCCGGCAGTGAGAGCTAAGAGGGATGGTTCTGTGGGAGGGAAGTCTGTGAAGGTCTCCTTGTGAAGTGTCCCTCTCAGTCTACATCACAAGAGCTAGCCTTGGCCAACTCCATCCCCCTCAGGAAACAATCTAGGAGTTCAGCTTCCAAATTGTAGACTTCGAAACAAGAGCCATCTGTGTGAAAGGCTTCTGAGATGTTGTCGGCTTCCCATATTCTATTACTTAAGAACATGGCTCCAATTAGAGGCAGACTGCCCTGTTAATCCTTAGAAAGTAGAGCTCCCCACCAAACAGGGCGTCTTTACACATGCTCCAGGGTAGAGGAAGGGGTGCTTTTAATGGAAGCATCTCCAAGAACCCCTCTAATTAAAGTGCCCACAGCATCATGTGTATTCAGCATCCCATGCTTCAAAATGGCAGCAGGGATGCTTTAACTAAAGCTCATTTGATGAGATTTAGTTAAAGGACCCCTGCCACCACTTTGAAGTGTGGGGATGCTGAATACACGTGACATGGAGGCTGCTGGATTGTACTAATTTGTGTGCTCCAACAGACTATTACGCAAGAAAGCTCAGCTGACAGAACTGCACAGTGTACAGCAGAGCTGGGTGAAGATTAGAGGGAAAATAGATTTGTTGAATATCATACTTGATCATGTATTAGAGCATTATATTTGCAAATGATTCATCTAGGTGTCTAAAAATATTCCATCGATAACACAGTCAAAGAGACTCTGACAGGCCTTAAGTATCATTGTTCTGATGACTATTATTTCAACCAACTCTAACGTGAAACCCATTATAAAGCCATAGGAGAGAAAGCACTGGCAGTGAAGGGATGAGACAGGATATATTTACCTCATCAGTTAAAGATTGTTGTTTGAAGCAAACATGTTGAATTCAGTTACAAATTCTCTTCCCTGGCTAGAGCAACCTGGATGCCAGGCCACCCAGGAGTATGAAAGCAAACTGGCCAAGATTTTAAAAATCAGGAGCATAATATGGGGCTCTTCTGCCTACATTTTGCCAGCTCAGTGACCTGGATTGTGTGTAGACTAAACGAGGGGTGTGTATGCACGACACTTAGAAGCAGGCTAAATGCTTTTGCATTGCTTTAATAGTGTCAGTGTTTGCACGCCTTGGCAGTGTATTGCACATTAATTCTAACCGCTGTAGCAAATTTGGCAGCATAATGCACCTTAAATGACTTGGGGAGCCTTAAATGACTTGGGGTGCAGCAAAATAAAACTCCTTCAAGGAGTTTTGTAGTTTGCTGCCCCTACAACCACAGAGCAAAGCACCAGGCTCCATGCAGCTCTGACTCTGCAGGAAGCCCTGCAGGCAGCCTGGCAGCAGCCCGGGAATGCTGGCTCCACCCAAGAAAAGTGGCAAGCCTGATCTTTCTCCCCACCCCACTCCTGGAGCCTGCTTGCTTGCCTGAGCTACGCAGGGGCCCAGGGCTTCCCTCTGTGGCTGCGGTGCCCCCCGGGACTGCCTGAGCTGGGTGCCTGCGGGCGTATGCCGCCTGGGGGAGGGCCACTGCTGCCATGGAGGGAAACACCATCCCCCTCCTGCAGCCCAGGGACCACTCTACCCACTAGCAGCTTGACCTTCCCCTCCCTGTCAGATAGGCAGGTAAGTCAGTGGGCTGTGTGCATGACACAGGGGTTTAATCAGCCCTAAATTGAAGCGGTATTTTTTAAAACCCACCACTTCAATTTGGGGCCTCCGTTTCATTTACACATGCCCCAGCTGATCTTCAAAACTGCTGAGCAAGCACAAGCTCCCATGGGAGCTGCTCTAGGCTGAGTTTTTTGGTTAGGCTACAGCTGAAGGCTATTTGGGAGCTAGGACAACCAGGTCAGAGGTAGGAACCTTGGAGCTTGATGACAGCAGCACATGAATATTCAATTAAGGGCCAAATTTTAAGGCATCCACCTATGAAAGCTCTCAAAAAGTCAGAGTGAGGTTAAGTATTGATACACTGGATGCTTTAAAGTCTGAATTGTGAGTGTTAGCATTCTTCTGAAATATCGTCTTAAATTACAGCAGACGGGTCATTTACCAAAGCATTTCGTCAATGTTATGATCTGCCTTCGGCTGACAAAAGCAAGACCGCTGCCTAGAGGAATCTGGTTAAAGTGCTAAACGTTCGACAAGTGGTCGTTTCTGCAAAAGGTGTCAGAGTGACCAGTGTACGTTTTACTGGTTTAATTCTAAACATTATTTCAACAAGTTATTAATCTGGGGCTTATTTTTAGCAGCCATAAAAGCAAAGGACATACGGTGTTGGCCAAAGCCAAGAAAAGTACAAGCAAGGGCTGTGTGAGTTCCTCACACATGGCTCTGTCCCCGTCACCTCAGCCCTGACCTTCAGCACTCTCTGCTGCTTTGACCTTGGGCTCCTCACACAGCCCTGCCATAATACCCCAGTCTCATCCAGATACATGATCCTTAATTATGCTGGTGGTGAGTACGATGATAAACCCCTACCAAAAAGCACTAAAGCATTAACTAGCCCCTCTCCCGTATGTTGGCGGTGGTGCATGTGTGTGAAGTTTCAGGTTTTTTTAATTTTTAGAATGACCTATAGACCTCAAGCTGAACTAAGGGAAAAATCTACCTGGAAAGGCCTGGAGGCCACCTCCCCTACAATTCACAAAGTGCTGCCATAAACATCACAGCTGCACAGCAAAACGGAATAAAAATCCTGCAGCATGATGATGAGTTCAGATTATCTAAAACCAAACACACTTCATCAGTTTTCTCATGTCACAATGCATGATGTATTCAGTTCTCAGCAGGGGGGATACTGTCCAACAAATGCTTTAGTTACATAGATGCTAAAAGGAACAAGCAAACCTTTTCAGGAAAAAGGTTCCCGAGAGTTTCCTCTCTAATCCAAGCAGTGGGTATAGCTGGCTTTACACAGCATTTAACTGTAAGACCTGCTTTAAAGGGAAAAAAAATCTAATACTGATAAAATATTAAATAAACACTAGTCTTGTAGCCTGTCCCATTTTTAATCCAATGGGGTTAGTGACCCTTTCTGGACCCAATTCAACTACTGTTGAAGTCAGCAGGGGTGCTGGAGCAGATCCTGACTGAATAGGTTGCTATATTTTGAGGCATTGCCCTTTTTAATTAAGATGAAAGAGGTGTCCTGTCATCTGAGATGATAGCAGCTAGTAATTTTCAAACTGATGCACTGGAGTCCTGAGTAAGGGCAGCACACGTAAGGACTTAGTGGGCACATCTGCACGTTATACTTATGTGCCTGAATTAACTTTGGTGCAGTTCATGCCAGAGTCAGCTGCTCCTGGGCATAGGGTCTTCACGTGCACCTGGGAGTGCAGCAGCTCAAGCCAGGGTGTCCTACGCTCTGGGTGGTGGCAGAGGGGCTGGCTGGGGCATGAGGGTGCTACAGTGCAGGGCTATCCAGCAGGCAGCCCCTGCACTGTAGCATCCTTACGCCCCATCCAGCCCCAGTCAGTCTACAGGTGCATTTAAGCACATGTAACTACTTTGCTATAGGATAGTGTTGGGCAGTACTATCCTACAGCAAAGTTGATTAGTTTACTGCACCCTAATAGGGGTGCGTGTGTAGACTGACACTTTACTGCTGAGCTAATTAGTCAACTGCAGTAAAGCACACATGTAAATGTGCTCACTGAGTAGAAAGGTGCTCCTTACTATCTGGCGCCCTCTGGTGCTGTATATATCTATCATAGCAGTTTACTACTGGGCTGTACACTTGCTTGGTAATGTACTCCTTGCTTATTCCTTGTGGAAGTCAGACCCATCAGGCTCACACCTGGCAAGGCTTGGCCTTACCTT